ACCTGATGAAATAATCAAGTTTTCCTGTAAAAGTATGCGCAACATCTTTAAAAAGTTTAATTGCTCACTCGAAGAATGATAAAGAGCGGGAGAAAGAGGGAGAAAGAGAAAGATTGTGTGGATCATGAAGTGATAGAGGGAGATGGAGAGAGTGATAGAGAGAAAGAAAGGATAACATAGTAAGACTAACAAGAAGAAAAAGAATGTACGTATGATCAGTTGTTACAATTGTGACAATTATGTATCAAGGGATCCTGGCTATGAGCGTAGTGCATATTGCTCGTGAAAAGTTATTTTGGGATAATATAATTATGAATTTTTGCATTCTTTCTCTCTCTCTCTCTCTCTCTCTCTCTCTCTCTCTCTCTCTCTCTCTCAAATCAGAACACTTAGGTCGAATATATAAATTTTTCTATTAAACCACGAATAGACAAAGTGATCACTGTATCTCCTTTTAATGGACCTATCCACATTTTACATACTGCTATGATTATAATATTCACCAATATTCATGTCGACAAAATACTTTTAGTATGGAAAAATATAATTAGAAATAGTTCAATTAACGAAACGAATCGAAAGAAACAAACAAATCCACACGGTAATGACATGATCGGATCATGATTGAATTCAGGAATTTCAGATTGCCAAGCACTCTTCGGGCGGAAGTCGAAGCAAACCTTAACAATGACTTATATAATCAACCTTCTGTTTCAACAATTAACTGTTGCAAATAGTTGCTATAATTAATCTATCAGAAGCTTAGTACGCTACTGTTTCATTTAGGTTTGCTGACTGTTCGAGTTCAAAGAATTATATGTTCAGATATAATGCACTTTTTCTTACTATAGGTATTTTACGGAAATGATTATCGTTTTCTACATGAGTCATTAAAATATATAACGTATGCATATCATCATTAAAATTAGATAAATTAGTCAACATGATTTTTATGTTTTCTGTAAAAACTAGTACGATCTCTTCGATCTTGTGATTATGTTGATCATTGCATGAAAGAAAGAAAAAGAATGCCAAGCATTCCGTATTAAATAATATAAATATTGGTTAAATTTCCTCTTTTGACATCTACGACGCAATAACGGATATCTACGAAAAGAGAAACTATTCGATATGATTTCCGTCAATCCATTGGCATGAGACGTATAGGAACGCAGAAAGAACGAGTAAAGTCTGAAAAGAGAGAGAGAGAGAGAGAGAGAGAGAAAGAGAGAGAGAAAGTCAGAGAGAAAATGGTGAGCAAAATGAAATATGCAAAATTCGATCAAATTTTTGATTCGGATATCATCACTAGCTACGGTGCAAGAAGGGTAACGTAATTCGTTTTGGTAATTGATAATTTATAACGTAACAAATCTTTTTCTTAAGGTAAACCAATCACTCTATGTTTAATTCGACGTAATACATGATCGTTTTAGTTGTTTCTCTAGCGATAATAAATAGTCTTCATTAACAAGTTAATGATTCCATTTATATTTTACGTAGTGCAATCTTCCAATGGTCGAGTTCATGGCGATATTTTGACTGTTTCACTTGCATTAAGTATTTCTTGTAGTAACTCGAAAAGTAGAATAATGAGAATCTTATTAAATATCTGATCAAAGTATACACGAACTATTACATAAATTTAGAAAATATTGTAATGAGAATTTTTTTATTATCAACAAAATGTGTAAAGTCTTAATAAAAATTTCTTTAATATTAGAGTATATAATTTGTATACATTATAAATTAATTGAAATATTAATGGAAAAATATGAGATGTTTCAATTTTAAATATTCAATTTTACATTAAATTCAGAAAATATGCATGCAATTACGCTCTAATTATTATTTCATAATATAAGTTCATTTAAGGATAAATTCTCTAGGTTACATAAAAATTTGTTAACTTTGCGGTCAACCTTCATATAATATCGTTTAGTTTCATATGTAACGCTTCGTATATAAGTATTCTTCTCATTACCTTAATGTTATTATTTATTATATCTTATGATGATATATAAAAAATTATTTCTTCAAAAATATTTCTTGCAATTGTAGATACTCATTCAGTGTTTGTTTTTTATCATCAAGAAGGTCGAAATATTTGCCATTTCGAGAACTTTCAGAGTTGTACAAGGGACTTAACCATTGGGAATTTTCCATTTTTTTTCTATCCTCGTCCATTTTAATAAGTATATTGTAAAAGTCTTTAAATATAACTGATACATAATAGAATCTCATTATAATTTTTGAGCAAAGATCATACTCCGTATTTTTCAAATAACTTTAGCAGTCACAGGAAAAATTAAAAGATGTATTTTCATCTGTAATTCGAACACGACGAAAAGAAAAATGTTCCGATCAAGGTATGTGTAGATCTAATAATGATCCAAGTTATTTTTAATAACGTATTTCATTATATAGCTTCTACAATTAAACGGATATTACTTATAAGAAAAGACTTATATATTCTCTCTATAAAGACTCGTATATTCTTGCCTAAAACTTTACTAGTCGTAAGTCATTTTTAAGTACTTGCCTTGTTTATACCCATGAGGGTTTTTATTAGATTGTTTCAATGAAAATAAAGTTTCAACTATTCCCATTTTCACAAATATCCTTTAAAATTTTATTATCGTATATAGAAAAATATAAACGAGTAATGTGCGTATATAAATACGTGGAAAGTAAAATATATATATAGACGTGTGTGTGTGTGTGTGTCTGTGTATGTATATATATGCACTCACACACATATGTTCACATAGCAGAAAAGAAAGAATGCAACAAGAGAGGCAAATGAAAAGATAATTATCAATCGATCGGTACTAAATCAATACCAGTAAAGATAAAATCATTTTCTTCCCATTAATATGCATACGAACATCGCGTGACTCCCGATCTACACGGTATTCATTATAATCTAAGTCATATTAATTATCTAAATAGTTTAGAATCTCAGTCTTGTGCGACCTTCTTTCGTAATCGGATTGAAATTTTCCAATTTTCTTTAGAATGTAGTCGTTGATACATTCAATTTGAAAAATAACACTATAATTATTCGATCGACAGACGAAAAAAATGGCATTGGTTGTATCATTGAAAATGTTTCTTCTTTTTTTTCTTTTTCGTCTGAAGACCGCAAGTTCGTCTGATTTTCATTCTATCAGCGACTAACAAACTCCATTTCTCATAGATATTTACAAATTATACGGGCCGAAATCTGTAGTATTTTTATATACCGAATCGATAAAAGGTAAAGATATTTCTCATTCTCATTTCTTCATTTCTATCATATTTATTTTCATGTTTCTCAGAAATGGAAATGACAACGATGGTGTTTAAATGGAGGCGTGCACTTTCTCGGGAAGGTATTGCGAGCACGAACTTGCAAATTTCACAATTGCACGAATCATCGTACTACGTAAAAGAAATTGTACGACCGTATTACATCGTAGTGATCCCTAATTACAATACGATTAATGAATTTTCCTTAGCAGCAAATACCTTTGACATGTCTTTAGCTGTGTGGCTAGTGATATTCATTTACAAGGGACATAGTTCCGATTATTGTCACAATCCACCAGGTAATATATTTAATTTAAGATTCAACACCGAAATGGTGATACGTTGTGATACAGAAAATATTTTACGAGAATGGTATTCGGTCGATACGAATCTAATCGAGATCAATAATATAGCAACGTGGAGCTTAGAGAAAGGAATCTGTAAACTCAAGGTAAAGCATTTTCGTTTAAATGCTTATTCTATTTTCTATTAAAAAAGATTTAACTTCATTCTTTTCCTTTTTACTTCTTTCCTCCATTAGGATACAGCATTCGTAAGAGTAAAGGAGGATGAAGATTTAGATGGTTTATTCGGTAAAATATTAAAAGAACTTTCTGTTACCCTTAATTTTAATTTGAATATTGTCTCGAAAGTGGAAGAGCATGGAAGATGGAATGAAAGAAAAAAGTCATGGTCTGGAGCAATCGCAGAAATACATGGTGGACGTGCTGACATTGCCCTTGCAGAATTTTCATTAACAATAACAATATCAATAACAATAACAATAATAATAACAATAACAACAATAATAATAATAATCACAATAATAATAATAATAATAATAATAATAATAATAATAATAACAATAATAATAACAATAATAATAACAATAATAATAATAATAATAATAATAATAATAATAATAATAATAATAATAACAATAATAATAATAATAATAATAATAATAATAACAATAATAATAATAACAATAATAATAATAATAATAATAATAATAATAATAACAATAATAATAATAATAATAATAATAATAATAATAATAATAATAATAATAATAATAATTTTTTTTTGATGGTCTAAGAATGCCAAACTTTACGCACTTACCCAGGGACCCTGCTCGCCAGGGGAACCTTTCAGCATTTGGATATCCCTTTAAAGTCCCTGGAGTGTCGTGCTCACCTTTGGAATAGGCACTACCGACTAAAGTCATATACATCCTAGTGGCATATTAAAACCATCCCGGCACCGCCATGTGGCATTACTTTAGAATGGCGCCACTGCTTCTTCTCCCTTAACTGGACTTCCTTTTCGGCTCTATGTGGCAGGAACCTGGAGCAACGTTGGTGGCACGTCTATGGGCTACACACCTCCTTCTTCTTTTTACGTAAGATTGCCCTGACGTACCAGGCCACCTTGTTCCAGTCCTTCTGCCCTCGCAGCATTTTCTCGACAACGTTGTCCGGCGAGATGTTTCCGAGGTCCTGCTCCAAGGCTAGTCGTTCGGCGCTCCACCGAGCGTGGATATATGAAGAGCGTGTGGTGGGCGTCGTCATTGATCGAGTCCCCATAGGGGCAGTTGCCGTCTGCTACCTTCCTCATTTTTGCCAGGTAGGAGCGGAACAGGCCATGCCCTGTCAAGAATTGGGTGCGGTAAAAATCGACTTCTCCCAGATCTCGATTTATACAGTTGTCTAGCTGACTAATGAGTCGGGAAGTCCATCTGCCCCTACGTATCTGCTCCCATCTACTTTGCCAGGTCTTGATGCTGATAGACCTGGCGAGCCTTGATGCCTCCTCCTTTCCCAGACACACCTTTGCTGGTGGACGAATTTCCTCTCCTGGGCTAATAGATCGATCGGGATTACTCCGCCGACAACTAGCACTGCCGGCTCTGAGACCATGCGGTAGGAGCACGCGATTCGGAGGGTGCCCCTCCTCTGTACCGCGGCTATGCGCTTACGATATTTCTCTTTTCGCAGCGCATCGACCAATACTTCCGCACCGTACAGCATCACTGCTTCGGCGGCACGCATCAGTAGTCGCCTCATGCACGGCCGGGGCCCGTTGACGTTTGCCATGAGTGTGCCACGCGAGGCTACTACTTTTACCGCCTTGTCGGCTACCCTGATTATATGCTCTCCATAATTAAGCTTGCTGTCAAGCATTACATCGAGATATTTGACAGCCTACTTAGTCTTGACCACCGCGTCTCCTACAGTGAAGCTGCGCAAGGTGTTGATGCGCTTCTTCGTAAGTAGCACGATCTCTGCCTTCTGGGCTGCTAGAGATAGCCCGTGGTCTTCCATCCAGAAGATAACTCTGCGCGTGACCTGATTGAGCAGCAACTGTGCCCCATCCGTGTCTCTTGCGGTTATGACAACTGCAGTAAGGTCATCTGCGTACCCAACAAAGAAAGCACCTTCAGGGACTGCCATACGTAGGATACCGTCGTAGAAAATATTCCAGATATCCGGTCCCAGTATGGAGCCCTAGGCTGCCTCCGATGTTAACTCCAAGCTTCAGGGACCATCGCCAGTACTGTATTCTAGGAAGCGCTCATCAGCCAAGTCCCACCTGACAAAGTTGAAGGCATTTCTCACGTCTAAGATGGCCAGCAGACACAAAGGGCTAGTTAGATGGTTCCCTCGCTCCGTCATTTTAGTGGCCGTGACGACCTCCTGGACTGCCTGGATGATGGAGAGGCCGGATCGGAATCCATACTGGCGGGCAGCAAGATCCCCGCTGCCCTTAAGGCTGCGTGCAGCCGTGGCCTAAGCAGCTTCTCCAGGAGCTTGCCAGCTGTATCGAGCATACAAATAGGCCTATATGACGAAGCGGCATCTGCTGGACCCTTGCCCTTGCGTATGAGCACAAATCTGGCTTTCTTCCACTGGGCAGGAAGATGCCCTCCCTAAGACATGTTGTACATGTTTAGCAAGAGTTTGGGATGACTCTGCGCAACGGCTTTCATTACTTCCGCTGGAAGGCCGTCTGGTCCTGGAGCTTTCTTGTTCCGCATAGAAGATGCAGCCTTGAGTAGCTCCTCCTCTGTAAATTGCAGCCCTTCAGGGCTACCAAGCGTCGCCGTGCGAATCTCTCTCTTCGGATGTGAGAGGAATAGGGTATGAATGATGTTTTCCAACATCCTCGCATCCTGAGGTATTTCTTGCGTGTTAGTCCCCAGTTTGCGAGTGACGATCTGATACCCTAATCCCCACGGATTCTGATCGACATCCAGGCTCAGCTCCTTCCAGCACCGTCGTTGACTGGCCTTGATGGTCCTCTTCAAAGCTTTTTTGGCCGCTTGATACTCTGTGGCCAAGGGAGCAGCGTCGAGATCGCGTCTTTTCGCTCGTTGTGCTAAACGGCGAAGTCTTAAGCACTTCTTGCGGAGATCTGCGATCTCGTTCGTCCACCAGTATGCAGGACGCCTGTGCCGTTTCATGCACTTCTTGGGCACCGCTATGGCGCAAGCCTTTTGGATGACTGCATAGTTGCTGAAGTAATCATCCTGGCTTGTGCAATTGGCGATAGACTCGCGGAGGCAATTTGAAGGGATCTCCAACCTTCATCTATGACTGAAGACAGCCTCTCTCGATCCATTCTTGCAATGTTCCACCGAGGGGGTCGCTCTACACTTGTCACGGCTGGCCTCCTATCGTGTACATCGAATAGGATGTACTGATGATCGCTCCCGGTATAATCCTCGATCACCTGCCAGCCTACGACTCTTGCCATAAGGTGTTCGTTGGCTAGAGAGACGTCCGGGATTGTCTCTCTGTAGCCAGGGCTGCGGAAGGTTGACGTCGAACCTGTGTTGAGTACTGATAGCTCCAGTCTCGACGCTACCTCCATGATTCATCTTCCTCTGGAGTCCGTCCTGGCCTCCCACCATTCGAGAGCTTTGGCATTGAGGTCTCCAGCCACAATGAGATCCCCTTGCATTTCCCGCAGCGCGTCTTCCAGATCGTCCAGTTTGATCTAGAAGTCGTTCATCCGGTCGTTCGGGATGAGATATACGCTGACATATGTCGTCAAGTTATGTCTCACCCGCGTCCGGATCCTTGATTCAACACATGTATCTGTCGGGGATCTGGGATCCAGATGGCCGTGGTGCCCAATTCGTCTGCGTACCATCCTACTCCTGCTCTGTCCTGGTACTGTTCGCTGATTAGAACAATATCAGCTTTTTTCTCAGAGCAGAGCTGGGTCAGAGCTGGCACAGAGTAGGTAGTGCGCCGTCCTGTTCCTATTGAGGTTACCCTGAAGTACTCTCATCCTTTTTTCCTCTTGTTGGCTGTTTCAAGGGCCTCCTGGAAAACTTTGCAGGCCCTTGATCCCGCCAGGTGCTTCCTAGTTTCAACAACGCTATTTGAGCACAAGAAGTAAGTAGGGTCACTGACTTTGCACTCTTTGATCTTGTGCCCCATGCCACCGCAGAAATAGCAAAACTTACTGCGATCAGGTCCCTTGCACGTGGCACTATAGTGACCATAGTCGAGACAACGGAAGCATCGCCTCACTTCTGTCCTGCGCCTGACCCTGCAGCTGACGAATCTGACCAGCACTCGGCCGGCCTTTAAAAGCTTCGCAGCTGCTTCCTCTTCTATCTTGACGAGGGCCAGGCGTTGTTGTCTTGCGTTGGGGTTCGTCATCTTAATTTCGATTTTCCCCGCGTAGCCTAGCAGGGTCCTCTTTAGGTCCTCCTCGACTTCTACCAATGATGTGCAGCAATCACAGTCCCGTATCTCCAGCGTAGCTCTAGGGACCAGTTCCGTGATGCTGCTCGTTTCTCCTACTTCTTTTCTCAGGGTTTCTGCGAATGAGGCCCTGATATCCGCAGTGGTCTTCTTTAGTTCGAGGAGAACCCCTCCGGTTCTGGTCTGCCGGACCGATCTAACGTCTACTCCTGCACCGCTGGTCTTGATGCGCTGGTGGATGGTTCCGACCACGTCTGCGTAAGATTTACCTTGCGCAGGTTTCAGGAGGATCGCGTCCGATTTCGTTCTCTTTCTCGGCCTGACATCCGATTTGCTCGACTTCTTTTTCTCCTGCTGTGGGTGTTTCGTCGCCTTTTTTGCTGGTTTCTTCTTATTTCTTTTCTTCTTGACGACCTCCGTCCACTTGGTGGCTTCGGTCGTCGTCGCCTCTTGCCTCGGTCTTTCTTTGTGTAACTGCGGCGGGCTTGTGGCTACTTTTCTAACCGCACCAGTATCTGTTATAGAGTTTGCCCTAGGGCTCAGAGAAAATCGGGCGAGGGTTCTCGCTCCCTTATTGACCTTTTTTCGAGATTTATACATAAACTCGAGACTGTCAATGATGTCCTCAAGTTCTGGGAGCCCTTGCTTAATAGCGTTGTTCACGTTTGGCTGTCTAGTAATAGCCAACTTCATTTTGGCAAGGAGGGATTTCGCTTGCGCGAATTTCTCTCTCTCCATCTTGGGTTGTCCCCTTCGCAGGCTGGATAGGTGCGGTCAAGCCGGAGAGCCGAAAGCCATCAACGGCCCTGGCAGCCCTCTGCCACTCCTCCAAGTGGCCTTCTTCATATTTTACCCTTCCTGGCATTTTTGTCACACCGCAGGCCAGGTCGCCTACCTGTGGTGCACTTCCTGATGCATTATCCAGAGCTGGGGCCAGGTTGCCTACCCAAAACTCCTGGCAGTTGCTGGATGACGACGGCGGGTGGCCTGCCCTATCACCACCAGACATCGCCGTGGCGTGGGTGTCCCTCCCACGCCCGCTATTATCTTTCGCTGTACTATCCATCATGAGTAATGTACTTTTGGGAGGCAAGCTCCCCAATAGAAAGGAAAGGAACGGAAGGAAGCTAGAGAGTAAGAGAAAGAATAGAAAAAGATATGATAAGAGAAAAAAGGAAGAAATAACCATTCAAGAACATTCACACGCCATTCACACAGTCCCTTTTAGTCGCCTCTTACGACAAGCAGGGAGTACTGTGGGAGTATTCTACTTCCCCCTACCCACTGGGGGGAATAATAATAATAATAATAATAATAATAATAATAATAATAATAATAATAATAATAATAATAATAATAATAATAATAATAATAATAATAATAATAATAATAATAATAATAATAATAATAATAATAATAATAAAAATAGAAACATGGATACATTCTTTATATGTTCTATAATTAAGTAACTGATTTCATTCGATTATTTATTCTGTTTCCATTTTGACCAGTCGTTCTATATAATATGGTTATAATTATCTTTATAATTAAATGCAAATGGTGTATATTTGGTATTATTGATAATTAAATAGATAATACAAAATCCATTCATTCTTTCATTCTCTTTATCATTGTCCCTCTCTTTTTTCTTTCTCTTTTATTCATTACAATAGAATTAATAACTACTAGAAAAGAACACTAAAAGGACAAAAGTATTTTTGTATCGTTTCGTAATCGTTTTCAAGATCGACTCTGTTCCTTTCTAACAAACTGAGAACTTTTTACTGAGGTGGATTATTCTTGGTTCATTATCATCCAATGAAAAATAGTGCTATATCAAAGAAGAGGATGACGGTGGAACGTCAAGTTGAAGGGGTTTCGAGAAGAGCAGGCAAGTAAATTCTCAAATAGAAACTTTCCTTTTCACATCAACATTTCAAAAATGTCTTTTTTGCTTTTTTTCTTTCTTTTTACTTTTCCTTCCCTTTCTCTCTCCTCTCTCTCTCTCTCTCTCTCTCTCTCTCTCTCTCTATCTATCTATCTCTCTCTTTATCTCTATAATCGAGTTAAATAGAGAAATAGAGGATGAGTGAATGTGTGAGGTAGTAACATAAGGCAGTAAAGAGTGTGTGAATGAAAAATGTGATGAAATTGTGAATGTTCAGTAAGATAAAGAAATAATGAGAGTAAATGTATGAAAGAGGTAGATAGAAAGATTGTGAGTTAGTGATTGAATAAGATGGAGAAATCTGAGTGTTTCATTAAGACAGAGAAATAATGAGTTAGTGTGTGGGTTAGTAGGATAGAGTAATAGTAAATTAAAATGTGTTTAATTAAGATAGAGAAATGGTGAATTAATTAAATATGGTACAGTAGAGAATGATTTGAATAAAGTTCAAATACAAAGTTTTAGTTACGGAGATTTAAAGTATTTATATTTTTATTATCAAATTGCAAAATCGGATAGAATTATATGATAGTCACTTGCATAGTAAGTGTAAACTCTACTGCGTACAGTAACCAAGAAACTTTTACTTATCTTTTAATATTAAGAAGAAAAAAAATCCTTCAAGTTCAGGTGTAATATTTTAAGCGGACACATGCTTAAGGATACATAAATACTTTTCATATTTTGCATTTTTATTTAATTTTTAAATTTTTATACGTTAATATCTAGTTACTAAATTTTTAACTTCGTCACATCTTCGTAACATAAATAGTATTAATCGAGTGCATCAGTCTATTGGAATGGACTTTCAACCGTTTTGAATAGCAATGTATAATTCTAAGTTTTTTGGTTTTTGTTGTTTTACGAATTTGTCGATGTCGATCTATAATATTTTGTTTGGATTTAAATCCGGAGGCTTTGACAGCCACTTCATTTTCTTAATATTTTGCTCAATTAGAAATTATTTTACTATGCGTGCCGTGAATTTCTGAACGTTATCAGCCTGATATATTCAATTCTTTGACATTTCATTGATGACATATGGGAATAACACATTTTTAATTACGTTCGAATACTTAAAACGGTCCTTGATTCCTTCTATAATGTGTACGGGACCGGTTCCACTAATGCTTATAGCACGCCAGATAAGGACGGTACCTCCACCACCTTTGATTGTGGATTTTGTACAAATCTTTTTAAATTTTTCTCCTAAGAGAAATGTTTGACATATGTTTTCCCTTCAGAATTAAATCGATTAAACTTCAACTCGTCCGTAAAAATTACTTTAGTATTGTTCTGATGTCCAATGAAAATGTTTTTTGGCAAATGCAATTTTCACTAATCGATTCTTTTCCGAGGTTAATAGTTTTTTCCGTGCCACTCGAATCATTAAACCAAACTCATTTAAACGACGCCGTATCATTCAAACACTTACTTTTTTATCGAAATCAGGATTAATTTCTGAGTGAATAGTTACTGCAGTTTTAAATCTATCTGCCTCGGAGAGTTTATTGGATCAGTTCTGCAATCAGATTTTCATTGCCACGAAGGAACATTAATTTGTTTTTGAGAAAAACCTATGGTTCTAATTAATTTTACGAGGAACATTGTTAGTGATTCCAAAACGTTTGATATACTACTTCATGGTTTGAAACCAGGCGATTCTGAATATTACAAGTTTCGAAAAAATTTGGCCGTACGATTCCCCACTTTTTCATAAAAATGTGCACTTGTTTTCATTATTCCGGTTATTTCATTGTGATATTTCTTTATTTACTCGTGTTAATGCTCTTTATAATATGTCTAACTAGAACTACTCGATCGAGACTAATAAGAACGATTTACTCTTGCTGACAGTACGATAACATACATATTACTTCTTATTTCTTAGAATACGAAAAAAACATTTGCTCCAACATTTACATTATCAATACGAATTTTACTCTTTCGTTAGGACAGTTCGCTTCGCCGGAGAAATGCCTCTGAACGGGGCACCGAAAAATGTGCACATTGTACGTCGATAGTCTATGATGTTCGCACTTACGTCTTTCAACGCTATTTTGGTATTTTCTTGTATATACACCTTAAGTGTTACGTAACGACTGTTTCGCCGTATTATATAAGAAACATGAAAATAAGTACATTTTATGCATATTCAGTTATTTATATATTTATAGATTTTGTAATTATTATAAAAAAAAATACAATTTAGGGTAATTAATATATCAAATTATAATTCTTAGTAATTTAATTGAGAATGGTAGATCTTAAAACAAGGATCGACATATAAACCTACATTACAATTTTTAAATTCATACCTAGATTCGCGTCTTTCTTTTACATATTGTTTGTATTGGAAACGATGCACCTTCTGTTTCGGTTTTTCTCTACCGATACATAAACTGAAGGAAAAATATTTTTCTGTTAGTCGCAATGGTAATTATTGCCTGTTCGATGATATTGATTTATACTTTGATGATACTTTCTCTGATTAATAGCAAATGAAATTTGGTCATAGATATAGGTTCTTTCATTTTATATTTGTAAAAGCAATAATATTTTTTTTTCGTATACGTACAGATAAGTTTATCTTTTTTTTATTAATATAGAACGAGGCTTAATAGAGAAGGATAGGTAATATAGATATATGCAGTATATGAGTGTATTTTCAGTCAAAAAGTTCTCTGGTCAAAAGCAAAACAAAAACAATCGAGCGATTAAACTCCAAGGATTGGAAAGAGATCTTCATTCCTTTATAGTATTTCAGTGAGTACAAATCTACGAAAGCGTTGATTAATATCGATTTAATTATGTATTTTATTAGCAAACATTTTCATTCTAATTTTATCACGATTAATTTAATAAGGAAATTAAATATGAAATTTATTATTACATAAAATAGTATAAAAATATGTGTAACTTTTACATTATTCACCATCGAATTTACTCCTCTCTAGTCATTGTATTATTTTAGAAAATTTATTTGATTTTTTTAATAATTGAATCTCTGTAAGCAGCTACCTTCAAATGATAAAAAGGTGAGTAATTTTTCAGATTTTGATAATGAGCAAATTGATATTGACAAAAAATAATATAAAGTTAAAGCATATAATATAATTATATATAATTAACTCTGAATAATTTCATATTATACATTATTTACAAATTTGTAAAATATGTTAGTAAGTGCTTATTTTTTTTTGTAATTTCATAACTCCATTGCATATTAATTCATAAAAGTATAATAATATGCATAATACATATTGAGATTTTAATGCTTTATTTTTTACGCTTCTAGTTCAAAGTTTAACTTATTTTTAAGATTACTTTAAAAACGAAAGTACAAGTTAGTTAATTTTCTACCACCTAATAATTAAGATAGTTTAAATATATATTGGATATATAAAAGGTTTATATACTGAAATGTAATGGGTTGTTCAGAAAGTAATTTCGTTTTTTTTTGTGAAAATGAAAGACAATTTTCGTATAATGAACAAATATTTTATTAAATTATATATTGGCCATTCTGGTTCAATACCTTTTGCCATCTTTCTGATAGTAACATGATACCATGCACATAAAATTTTTGGTCTTTGCTGGCAAAAAATTGATCGAGGTGGTTTTTGACCTCCGTATTTGAAGTTAAGGTTTTACCGTCTAAAAAATTTTGCAGTGACCGGAACAAATAATAATCCGAAGGTGCCAGATCTGGAGAATATGGTGGGTGTGACATTGTATCCCATTCAAGCTGTAAAAGCTTTTGGCGAGAGACCAAACTTGTATGAGGTCTTGCATTATCTTGGTGGAACACTACACCTTTTCTGTTGAAGTGCATCATTCAGTTTGTCCAGCTGATGACAGTAGACGTCCGAATTAATTGTTGTGTTATCCGGTAAAATCTAAAAAAAAAACGGTTCCTTTAAAATCTCAATAAACAGACAGTATCATCTTTTTTTGATGGATATTGGCTTTGGAAATGCTTTGAGCCGGTTCATCTTTTTTGCTCCATGATCTCTTGTGTTTGACACTTTATATATAACCCATTTTTCGTAATGGTGCGCTTCAAAAATGGATCATTTTCGTGACGTTTGAGAAGTGAATCACAGACGTCAACGCGACGACACAAATTTCTATCTGTAAAAACATGGGGAACCCATATATCGAGTTTCGAGGTTAAACCTGTTGAGAACCTATAAACTCAATTTGAACAAAAATAAGTTCCCGCCCCTTTTATAGTCAAGGCCAGCTTCGGCCATCTTGATCGATGTATCGATCCAATGTATCGATTCCTGTCGAATTGAATAAATACTTCTTGTCTTACAGAAAAAAAAACAGATCGATACAAATTTGTTTAATTAATATCCCATGTGCATAATTCTGTTCTATCAAAACCTAGGCCTTTCAAATGATCATAAACAATTGAATTTGATAATTTAACCTCTCATCGATCTCACGTGTTGTTATTCGCCAGTTTGCATCAACTAATACCTTTATCGTGTTTTTATCAGCTTCAACCGGACTTCCAGAACGTGATGCATCTTCGACATCAAAATTGTCGGATCGAAATTTTACAAATCAGTTCTAGCACTGGCGTACTGTCAATACATCTTCTCCATACATATTGGTTAATTTCTTTCTGGCTTGAACAGGATTTTTACCTTTTTTATAGTAAAAAAGTAAAATAGGACGAAAATGCTGCTTATTGCTCTCCATATTTAAAAGGGCACCAACCAAAAACTACTGCGTAGAATCAATTGGACTTTTTAACATACAAGCCTTGCTTAAATCAGCTCTCAAAACATATAATGATTATGCGGCTTAAGTGTGAAGTGGGTGCAAAAAAAAACAATTAAATCCTCTGTCGGGAAAAAACGAAATTTCCGAACAATTTGGGTTTATATATTGGATATATATTGGATGGATTCATAAATTAATGTCATTAGTTATAAAAAGACATTTTCTTATAAATTAACACAATATTTTTTCATATTTCTTATTATTCTATTTAACTATTAAATGTCGATGAATGTAACATAGGAATGTTAACGATAAATGTAACATAGGAATGATTATAACATACATATATATACTTTGTATATACCTAGGACGTACAAATTATACGTACAAATTACATCAATTCAGTATATAAAGATAATTTCGTAAAACTTCCATACGTATTTGTCTACCAAATGAAAAAAAAATTTGCAATACAACTTCAATGATTTTCGTATTGAGTTCACAGTGCTTATAACCATATCGGTTTTATCTACTGTATCCATTGAATTATTATTATCTAATACGCATACAGATTTTTGGATAACTTCTTTCCTTCATACCTGAATATTGTTGCAAATTTTGCTGTATGCAATCATTAAGAATAAAGGATTTCATGCCAAATTTACTTCTTTTTAAAGGAATATACTGTTTCATGGACAACAGCCGCTCTTTATGTAAAAGTAAACTTTCGTCAATACATAGCCGCTGATAAGGTTGAAATGATTGACTTTATATACACGTTTTTCATAACATATCAATGATGTTTCGTATTTTGTATAAACGATCATTAGTATGTCCGACATCATAGATGAAATGTAGCATCCCTAATAATTTAATTGTTTCTAGTCATTATTTCTCCAAAAATATCACTATGCAGATGTTTGTCTTTATTCCAGTACTGTACTAATTACAACTTTTTGTCCCGTCTGGGTTGCTTCTGGATTGCGTCTACGAATCATATTGGTGCCTCATCACCACAAATTGTCGATGTCCTTTCGATTGGTATCAGAAACGATTTGGGATAGAATATTATCAAGTATTGGTGAAAGCGAGACGATATCGTTGGACAGATGGCAATTAGTTATATAGAAAAATGCTGACATTCACAAAAGAAAACGTTAACAATTATTTTTCGTTTGGCGTAGACCCTCACATAGTCCTTGAGTTACACAAGGTCAAAGGTAAATTCAATTGTTTCGAAGATCATCCCTCTTTTCGATTGACGCGAATAAAGCTTCGAGTGCATAAAAAAAAAGAATAATAATAAATCTTACTTCAAGTTTCGAGAAAAATTGAAACTTCTTTTCTTAGTAGTAAATGTAGCGCAAAGAACGTACCACAAAAAAACAATGAGAGAGAGAGAGAGAGAGAGAGAGAGAGAGAGAGAGAGAGAGAGAGAGAGAGAGAGAGAGAGAGAGAGACGCTATTATTAAAATAAAATATATAACTAAGAGAAAGGGAAAGAGCAAGAGAGAAAAAGATTAGATATGTCTTTTCTAATCGTGTTTCGCGGGTTCGACGTCTGAATAATAACTATAAATAACGAACTTAGAAGATTAGACGGCGATTATTAATAAAAATTAATGCAAATATCTTATACGTGCTCTTGATGTGCATGTGTGTGCATATGTTAGATCTAGCTAGCTATTTCTATGTATGTGTGTATGAGTGTGTGAGATAGATATACTGGTTGACAAATGACCAGAAAGACGGAAAGTTTCAAAACTTGCTAATGTGTCTGTGTATGTGTGTATATGTGTGTGTGAGATAGATATACTGGTTGACAAATGACTAGAAAGACGGAAAGTTCCAGAACTTGCTAGTGTGTCTGTGTGTGTGTGTATGTATGTGTGACAAATTGGTGGACAGAGCATCGACCAATTATAAATACGATATATGAAATTAAAAACTCTAAAAAGTAATATCTTGTTAATCCAAACCATGAAAATTAATCATTAAAATCCGATATCAATAGAAATATAGGTTGAAAAATAGGAAAAAAAAGTTGTAAGGGAAATGTCGAAACATCTACATAAAATTGTTTTTTGTAGATTTTGAAATATCCTGTTTTCATCATTATAATGACTCGTTAACGATATCGATTGAAAAACATTTATTTCTAAATCGATTGGTATATTGAAAAATTCTTTACGTTAAAAAATAATATGCCGATCTCCTGCTATTGACGAGACGATACACATGAATTCAAAAGAACGATAGTTGGTTGCATCGAAATGAACGAAGCTCATACACAGTGCATTAACACTGCATATATCGCACGACAAAAAAAAATCATTAGTAGTTTTATTAATCGTTAACGTGAACTCAAGTTTAGTAATAATTAATGTCGTTTTCCAATACATTTTTAAAACTAATTTATTTAAACAAAATAAAACAATTTAATCAACGATATAGTCGCCGTTGTTTTCAACTACTTGTGCCCAACGCTCAGGTAGCATCTTAATCCCTTTATTGTAAAATTCTTGTGATTTTGATCCAAAAAATTCGTTCAAGGCGTTTTTGAGGCACTCTTCATTATTGAAATGATTTCCAAGAAGAAAATTTTGTAAGGAACGAAACAAATAATAATCGGATGGGGCAATAATTGGAGAATATGCAGGTTGTGGGAGAACTTTCTATCCTAACTGGCGTAGTTTTTTTTTCGCCATGATTCTTGCAGTATGCGGTCGTGCGTTATCGTGATGAAAAATTACGCCATTCTGATTAATCAGCGCGGGTTCCTTTTCTCTCAAAGCTCGGTCTAAAATTTCCAATTGTGCACTATACATTTCACTTGTAATGGTTTGGTTGGTTGGTAAGAGTTCATAATGAAGAATTCATTTAAAATTCCACCAAACACACAACATCACCTTTTTCGCATGCAAGTCAGGCTTTGACGTGGGCTGCGGTGCTTCGCTTTTGTCCAATCATTGTGACCGTCTCTTCAGATTAACATAAAGCACCCATTTTTCATCTCCGGTAACAATTTGCTCTAAAAATAGCACTCGGTTTTGACGAGAGAGGAGCGAACTGCAGATTGCGATTCTTTGGTTACGGTTGTTTTCAGTTAATTCATGTGGAACTCACTTTCCAAACTTTTGGACCTTACCAAGTGACCGCAATTGATTGCAAATAGTTTTTTGCGAACAGTTTAAAGCTGTCGCAAGCTCTTGTTGCGTTATTTGAGGATTTTTAATCAAAAGAGCCTGAAGTGTTTCCTGATCAAAATTAGACACACGACCTCGACCAGTCTCGTCATTCAACGAAAAATTTCCCTCGCGAAATTTCTTAAACCAACGCTGACATTTTCTTACTCCAACAGTATCTTGACCCAAGGCATTACAGATATTTTTTGCAGCCTCATTTGCTTTTCTTCCCAACTGGAATTCGTAAAGCATGCAATGCCGAATATGCTCTTCATCTGCCATCCTTTAACCTTAGTTTCGCAAAGTAAAACAGTTCAAACATAAACTTTTTGCAGCAAAGCTTGTTAATTACGCTTCATACTTTTTGTATGTACCACGCGTTTGTAGGTTATGTTGATGAAGTTAGCGGCAAGCAGGATTTTAAACGAACACTAAAAAACGACACAAATTATTACTAGACCTAATAGATACGTATTTTGTTGCTAATTTAAATAGATTACTACTTTATTTACTTACGTACACAAGCTTGTCATCACACGTACTTACGTAATTTCTTTTTATACAACGTGAGTCAAAACTGTATAAAAAAATATATACTACATAATTACGTATGAAAATACATAATTTCGAAATAAAATAAAGAAATAAATAATATTACATATTTCGAATTTAAATTTTATATTGAAAAATTATTGAATAAATATTCATTATAAAGATTTTTTTTTCCTTTTGTATACGAGATTATCTTAGCAAATTTTCAAATCATACTTTTCCTTGCATGAAAATCACTCTTGAAAATAATTTATTTTTACGCGACGTGATTTTATCACATAGAAAATAATAAAGATTTTTTAAAAAATCTGAAAATATAATCTCAGGTGTAAAAAGAAAAAAAAGAATATCTTTCGAATGAGAACCCTTGTAATCATTAAAATCACGACGTTGAGAATTCCTTGCAACACATTGGAAGAGAACCCATTTAAATAAATACGTGAATATTTTTTAATTAATATATTTATCCATTATTCGTTTAACAATCGCTATCGAATTTATATGGTTTTTATTATAAAGAGAATACGGAGCTATTGTTTTCAAGCTAAATCCTTCGGTACTTTTGATTCTCTTTCGGTACTTTTCATTCTTCATGGGAGAAAAGAAAACATTTTTTGAATGACTTCTCTGAAATCGGATGGTCGAAAAATAGGATAAATAACTAAAATTTTATATCTCCATGTGGAAAAACGTTGATAGAGACTGATCGACGAAGTCTTTTTTAGAAGAAAAAAATTAGGATTATGTATATTTGTGTATATAAAATATACACTATGTATATATGTGTATATAAAATTAGGATTATGTATATATATATATAATGTATGTATGTACATTATGTATATATATGTAATGTATGTATATACATGTTCCTTTTTTCATTTCCCAATTAGAAAATTTTCGACTCGTTTTGATTGGTTTCGTTTGTTGGTACGACTTGTATCAACGCATATGAGAAAAGAATACTTCTGCTAACATTGGAGCCTTTTTTTCGAGATCATAACAAATATACTGAAGCATTTGATTGAAAGTAAAAAGAATTTTTATCATATTCCTTTACTTTTTTTACGAAATTTATATTTTTTTTACATATATTGACATAAATAAAATCATTAGTACATTGCGCATCTTACTGCGCAGATGCGTATTGGTGTACCCTTCAAAATGGTAGTTTATCTGTAACATTTCATTTTTTTGTACAATTTGTTCTCATTTTGTTAATACAGCTATATTATTTTATTATTGAATAATAATAATTGATTTTTTTATATGGAGCTTATATATATATTTATAGATAATCACGATACAAAGAATATAATACTTGAAGATTTAAAAAACAATAATATGCAAAATAATGCTTGTGCTGAATTAATTTCTTTTTTTTATTCTTGTGTTATTTTATTTATTTTATTTTTTTTTTCTTCGTTAACGAGTAATTTATTAAAGTGGTAATGCGTTAGAATATAATGTTTTTAAATTAATGGAAAGAATAAATATACTCAGTGTTGCTAAAAATGTTACTTAATAAAGTTCAAAAGTTTAACAAACTCACTGAATGAGATAGAAAACGATTAAGTTTCTGGTTTGGTACGTTGTCTAATTGATTTTACAATTTTACAGGTTATATGTGTAAAATATTGATAATGGATCATTTTACTACTCAAATGGAAGAAAAATTGAATTGTTTATGGAATATGTATAAACTTGCAAGTACAAAAGCAGCAAGAGTAGAAATATAAAGAAGAAATAATTAATGAAATAAAGGAATAAAGAAGAAATAAAAATACTATTCGTTTTAATCTTAGATGTGATTTAGTAGTATTTTCTGTCGTTATCATCCTGAACAAAAGGTAAGCATTTAAAATTGATTATATTTTTAAACATCAAGTTTAATATTAGTTCTGCTTGCACTTATGTACCATATAAGCATTTTTACATTTTATTTGTATGAGTATAATATTTATAATAAAGTTCTAAAAAAAAAGATACATTTTTTTCAAATTGTACGCAACAATAAGCATCAAAATTCCATCACATTTGCATAAAAAGTTATTAAACAAAGTTTCTGATGCACAAAGATACCATATTTATACCGACAGATACTATACCAGCATTCATTTAACAGAAAAATTGTTAAAGATGAAATATCATCTTACTGATACAATAAAAGTCAACCGAAAAGGCATACCTATACAAATACGAAAACCAATATTTTCAAAAACAAAAAAAAAAGAACAGTTGCATGCAAAAAAGATTATGCTTCTTGCATGGAAAGATAAAAGAATCGTTATAATCCTCAGCAACTACAATACTCCAGGAATGCAATCTATTTTCAGATTATGTGGTGAAAATATTATATCAGTCGATAAGCCTTAAATGATTTTAGATTATAAAGCAAATATGGACGGTATGGATCTTGCTAATTAATACGCTTCAACGTATTGTTTTATACGGAAATCTTTAAAATGGAGAAGAAAATTATTTTTTTGGAGACTGGAAATGTGTTATAAATTCCTTCATAATTTATCGAATCTCAGAAATAAGAAAAAAAATAAAAACCAATAACACATTACAAGTTTATCAAATCTTATAAATCAGTTAAGAGGTGATTTTCTCGAATCTATAACACGTCCATTCACATATTCATCGGACGATAGACTAAATAATAAATTACATATTCCCAATGTGGGAGAAAGAAAACGGAACTGTATTGCTTGTTCTAACGGAAAAACACCAGGTGGAAGATGTCAGACAACGTATTATTATGATACGTGCACAAATCAGCCTACAATGTATATTAGGAATAGATTCAAAATTTTTTACACTGTAGAATATTATAAAAAATAAATTTTGGTTTTTTTTGCAAATATATATTCCTCAAGTTCATATAAATCAAATATCATTGCAACACGTTTAAAAAAGTGCCGAGTGCAAAGGATAAAAGTTGATGTTTCATGCAATAAAGGAAAAGTTTATGAAAATAATAAATAACTCGTTAAAAGAAGGTTGCTTCAGGGAGAATTGAAAAACATCAACGATATTATCGGTTCCGAAAATAGCAAAAGCAAAAAAGTAAATGAATAGAGGCCGATTAATATGCTATCAATCTATGAAAAAGTGCTAGAATTAGTTGCGAAGGAGTAAGTTGAAGGGTATTTGAACTTATCATTATCATAACGGAACACAAATCAGGTTTTAAAAAACAGTATTTCAGCAAAACGGTAATACAAACAATTGTTGACGAATGGAAATTAATAATTAATGAAGAAAAAATGGTGGGAGTGATTTTCATGAATATTAAGCAAGCAGTTGAAACAGTGAACAAAGAAACGTTAACAGAAAAACTGTATTAATTGGAATTAGAGGTACTGTTTTAGAATGGTTTAGATTATATCTAAATAATAGAACGCAGCGAGTTCGTTTCTACGGTAAATGGTCTGAATTAATTAACACTGAATATGGAGTGCTACAAGAATCTGTAGTGGAATCCTTATTGTTTATCTCATATATGAATGATATAATTATAATATGCCCCGAAAGATGTAATATAAAAATTTTTGCGGACGATACACTAATCTATGTCACTGGAGAAAATAGCATACAATTAGAATCAGAAATGAGTAAGATGTCTAATATAGTAAAAGAATGAATGAATATGAATAAATTAAAAATGATTCAGAACATGATAGTTAGGAGTGTAAGAAAAGAATTGAAAGGAAATACTATTTTGAAATCCTTAGTAGGGAACCGAGATAAAACGTGTAGAGAATATAAAATACTTAAGAGTAATTATAGATGATAAGCTTAGATTTAAAGAGCATTGTGATTATATATTAAAAAAGATAGATAAAAAAATTAACTTACTAAATAGAATAGGTAATTATATAACAGCATATGCAAGATGTACTATATATAAATCCATCATAGCAGCAAACTTTGAATATTGTGTATCATTGCTAATGAATATGGGAGAGACACAACTGGATAAGTTGCAAATAGCACAACATCAGGCAATGAAAGTTGCGTTGCAATGCAACAGATACCAAAGTGGAACATATGCTGCAAATATTGCAGTTTATATCCATAGAGTCTATGCTATAATGTATGTATATTGATTTTTAAGATAATAAGGAATTTACTAATTAGGTAATTAAATAGTAGGTTAGAAATAGTAGGTAATAAAAACGGAAGACACACGATAGGATGCAGATGTTGCAATAAAATTTCATAAAACAAGGAGTACGCAAAAGAAATTATTGTATGATGAAATAAAAATATACAACGCTTTATCAGCTGAAATTAAGCAATGCAAAAGGCTACATACACGTATACGTATATATATTAGATATACTATATATATTAGATATACTATATACATTGTATACATAGGAAAAAAAATTGAAGATGTATAAAAAATGGCACATTCAATTCTACTCTATTGATAGGCAGACGCAATGCTGAGGAAAACAACGTTCAACTCAACTTTTTAAATATAAAAATATATTTAACAAATATAAAACTATAAAAACAAAGATCACATGCTGTTCACTGTCCGCTGTTCGCAGACCCGCTAGTTCTTCTCACTGTTTCGCTTATACGCTTATTCTTACTTCGCTGGTTACATTCGCTGCTTCGCTGGTTGCACTGGCTGTTATGTTGGTACGTCACCGCTGGTCGTTCTCGCAGTTTCGTTGGTAAGTTATTTCACTCAAGAATCTATCGAGACACTC